TACATACATATATATAAATATGTATTATACATACATATATATATATATATATATATATATATTTATTTATTTATTTATTTATTTATTTATTATAATGGAAAAATAATATTAAAAACATGTATTTTATTATTTTGTAAGTTTCGTATAAATGGTGTATTTTATTATTTACACTTCTTTTGCACAAAAAATATTATTGTTTTTATTCGAATTTTATAATAATTAATCATATATCTTATCTAACATAAAAATATACAGTCATGTTCTTTTTGATACACGTCAAAGTGCAAAATATATGAATATTTTTCGAAAATGAATATAAGGTACGTGTAATATTTATTTATCTATATTGTATTCCAACTAAATTGGAACTTTATAATTATGTAATATTGTTTATTTTTTTTAAAGTAAAATGTAATAAATTATTAGTAACTTAAAATAATATTGCTTATTTAGTAATTATTCTATAGTAGTCTATAGATTTGATATTTCGGATAAAAAATCCTCGTCAATTGGTAAATTTTCATGTAGCAAAACCATATTAACATTTAAACTATCACCAAATTCATCATCTATATATAAATCTTCGATTGTATTGTCTGGAATATCCTGTAATAATATAAAGGTAAAAATATTTATTAATTTATTCATACTTTTTTATTAATTAACAAAACATATATATATAAGCATTTAATGAAATGCTTACCCCTCTGCGTATAGGTAATTTTCCTAAAGCTGAATTGTTAATTGTTCTCAATTGGCTCAATGTTGCTGGTAAGGAACGCCGCCTTGGTAAAGTACTTTGATAACATGTTTTGCAATTTTTATTGTTTGGAGTGTCATTTATGAACATTAAATCAAAGTTTGTTATAATAGATTTTGGTTCATTTTCCTTAATTTTCAATTTAGTATCATAATTGTTCTGAAATATTCCATTTTGTACTTCTAAAGATTTAGCATTATCCTCAATAATAATTATTTCATCATTTGAAGATTCAATCTTTTCTTTTTTCGATATTGTATCATTATACGAATTGTTAAATTCATTCGATACTTCGGCAATACATTCGCAAACAAAATTTCTGCTACATGTTGTATTGTACGAACGAGTGCATGTTTCAATACTGGCAATACTAACATCAATGTTATTATTAGGTTTTTTTTGTGTTTCATCATTAATTATTGCGTTATCTATATTAGATTCATTAAACAAAAATGTTTCGTTTTTCGTTATTGATCGTTCAATATTTTTAATTTCTTCATTGTCGTCGTTAACTTGTAAGTCATATAGATTTTCGAAAATATATTTATTATCTTGATTATTGTCCCCTGTTACTTCAAAATCTTGGTAGGATCTAAATGTAGGAGATTGACATAATTCGTTTGTATTTGGTGTAATGGAACGAACAATTTTTGTAGCTCTGTCTAAAGCGTCTTTTAAGATTTGCAAAGGTTCATTTTGACTAGGTGTTATAGAATTATTCATATTTTCTGATACTTGTGTAAATCCTTCCTGGCTGGTTTCTGTTTCAGTTGCTAATTTTATAATAAAGATTATATATATAGTTTTATAATAAAGATTAATTGTTACATTAAAGATAAAAAAATATTAAAATATTATAGAATAGAACAATTTCTCTAGAATAATTAAGCAGTAGCAATAGTTTTCTGCTATCTTAAAATAAAAAAGTTAAAAAAGTATTTTAATTTTATTATATATATATATTAATGTATTACCTTCCGTTTTACTTTTTATGACATAAGTATTATCGCTATTAATAGATATCGATTCTGTTGTTTGATTTTTGGTCACAGTTTCAACAGAGACAGTATCGCTTTCATCTGTCTGTTGTGCAAGATAGCGCGGCTATAATAAAATTAATATAATAAAGTTCATTACGATAATTTTTTCTATCTTAAAAAAATCTTAAAAAATAAAATAACATAAATTCTTACGGATTCATCAGCACAAATTCTTCTCATTTTGGATAAACAAATTAATTTTTCTTTTCTCCACAAAGAAGTTTCGAAAAAGCTTTGAGGATCGGAATTTAATATTTGTGGTTGTATTATTGCATCTTTAATGCTTTCAGGTGTATGTAAATAGGGAATCTATAATGTTATATTAGAATATAATAGATTTTAGATTGATTATTAAAGCATGTTTCATGTTTTAAAAAAAATCATACCTTACGATATGATTGAAACGTTGATTTTAAATAAGACGAATCATACTGATTGGGAGACTTATTGCATTTTGGCTCTATACTAGTTCTATGACTAGCTGGTTTATGTGGTTCGTAATCCTTGCTTTTTATTTCGGTGAATATCTTATCTCTAATGGTTGGGCCTAATTATAAAAAAATTAAAAAAAATATCATAGATTTTTTTATCATTTTTATCATGTATTTATGTAAAATAGTATACTGATAATATAATAAAAGAAAAAAATTCATACATACTTATATCTGTAGATACAGGTGATGAATCACTCCCATAGAAAAAATGTTCCCTTTTGCTCGCTAATACTTTTTTTAATTGTTTCAAATTAGTTCTTGCATCTTTGAAGGATTCATCATCCGTGGATTCTAACAATGGCGATGAATACATAGATGTTGTTCTTGATTCTGCCATTTCCTGTGGTGCTTTGACTTTTTTATATGTACTATTCCATGGTTGTAAGATTTGCTTTGCATTAGATTCTTCTTCATTTTGAATGATATCCGGTATTTTTTTAGTATAAGTCGGATAGTCAATTTTTTTACAATTATTGTGTAAATTGTTGAAAATATTCGTATTTTTTTTTATATCGTTTCTGGCATTGCCTTTAATATCGTCAACAAAAAAATCCATTTCTTCATCGTGAGGTTCTTGGTTTAAAGTTTGTTTGGACATTGATTTTTTCAAATGCAAATGTTGTTTTGTCGGAGAGTCCGCATTTTTTGAGGAATAAGATAATTGTTTGGTTGAGAGGCTTCTGAATAATTTCGAATTTTTATTTTTTAAAATAGGAGATTTCTTTTGTAAGATGTAAGTTTTTTGTAAGATCTCATTATTGTTATTATTCATATACTGATCGATATATACTGGTTCTACATTCTCGTATTGCAGCTAAAATATTATATTATTATTATAATTTTTTTTATAAAAATGATGTTAAAAGAGAATCTAAATTTTTTTAAAAATTAAAAATTAAACAAAAAATTTAGTTCTATTAATATATTTAATAAAGTATTTAGCATTTATTTGAAAGATATATAAAGAATTTAATATTTTATTGAAGTCTAAATCTAAACATTTTTACGATTAAAATAATATACCTCTAACTTTTGAAGAAATCTACGCATTCTATTCATATCCAATGTCCTTTTATTAATATCTAATTGCAATCCAGCTTCTAATAAATTATACAATAACGGTGGAAAATTATACAAATCCATAATAACACCACGTTTCCAATGTACATATTGTCTTTCAACATCTGCCTTATTATATCCATTCCAAGGTACATGCACTATTCATCAGATTAAAAATCAATATCTTTTTATTAAAAATTAATAATTTTAAAGAATAGATAAACATATATATACTATTATAGACTATATTTATAGACTATACATATAGGATATATTATATATAAAGTCTGAAATTAGTTGTATTTAGAAACAAATAGAAAATTAGAAAATTTTTTCAATTGTAAATTCCAAAAAAATTTTTAAATATTTTGCATATTTATAATAGTAGATGAAATTTTTTTCATCGTACGAAATAAAATGTTGAAAATCAAGCAGCTGTTGAAACTATTTAATAGCAAATAAAATCTCAACAAATGTGATTTCCTTTCCTTATCGGTTCTAAACCAGTTTTATATCGAAAGGTTGGCGGTATTTCTAGTTGAAAAGTTAATCTCGTAATCGTTCAGGTTCAGGTGAAGAAATCCACGCGTATGAAATTCCTCGAATACTCAAATTTCATTCAAGATTATTATAAGTATGATTAAAATGCATCGAGAAATTTGATAAATAAGATAAATTTCAAGAAAGATCAAGAATAAGATCTATTTAATTTGATTAAATACTTACTTGTACACATTTCCCAAATTAATAAAGCCAATCCATAGACATCGCTCTCCTTATATGGTTCGTAACCATGAAAAAGTTCTGGCGCTTGCCAGCGGAAAACTTCGGCACGTAAACGTTCTTCGTATTCTCTTTTTGGTTTTGGCTGTAGTTGAATTACAAAATAAAAAATAATCAAAAAAACATTGTAAAATATTTAAAACATTAGATAACAGATTTTAGAGTGATAATATTTATTTTTATTGTAGTATTGTTGTAATATTTATCTTTTATCTTTTCTATGATTCAATAATATATTACATCTGTTATATTAAAATATCTTCTATTTCATATATATTGCAATACATAAATATTGCAATATTAAATATGTTTGCGAAAAAACTCAAACATAAAAATTGGTGTGAAAGCAAATGGTAGATTGCAAAAAATTCACAGAATTTATCTAAATCTTCGCGCATATATAGGTCACACTAATTCCCATCATTCTAATCTTTTATAAACAATAGGAAAAATTTTTTAATAATTTATAAAAAAAAAGAATTATATGACGAAAAATAGAAGATAAGATTTTAATGAAAAGCTATTAATAATTAAATATATAGATATTTACCTGGATTTTTTAAAATAATTAATAACTTGACAAAAACATTTTTCGAACGAATAATCTTTTGATTATTTTTATTAAAGAAAAAAATATTTGTGTAAGATAAAAATTTTGCATTTCAAAAAATATAAAGT